GTGTGTGTGTGTGTGTGTGTGTGTGTGTGTGTGTGTGTTTGTTGGTGGGGAGGGCTGTGTTGGTGCTTGTGAGCTGGCCTCTGCTCCAGGTATGTTCTCAGGACATATTCTGGCCCACAGGAAACTTAGAAACTCTCATGCTGCTGACCTTTGCACCATGGCAAACTGGGCACTGTTCTCTGTCCTCTCCCAAATTAGCATATATGTGCAAGAAAAGTTGCAGAACGGTGTACTGTGTATACAATTGTAAATAATGTGTAGCCTGTAACCTATAGTGTTTTATGTTATTATACGTTTCCTAGTATAGTGTGGAGTATCTGTGGAATGGTGCACAAACAAAGGGCCACTTTGCTTTTTTTGCTCCTGCCACGGATTATACATTAGATTTGCAAGGGAAAAGATCAATAACCCACTTAATTGTCTTTTTCTTTCCTTTGTACCTCTTGAATTTTGTGCTTATGTATCCATGTTCCATTGGAAAATAATTTACTAAAAAAAAATCATTGCAAGTTTCTATAAAAGCTCTTGTTGTAGCATTGTCATTCTACAGTCAGACTCTTTTGGTGAACTCTCTTATTAATTTTATTATTCTGTCTCATTTTTTCCTTCTGACTTCTTAAGTAGATAAAGGAACTGCACAAATTATGACTATTTTATATCTTTCTACTCACTAGTTTATAGTTATTTCTTTTACTTATCTCATTGCACTGTTAGGGACCTCTAGAAAAACAGTGTTGATGACACAGCACATATTTGTCTTGTTTCTGATTTTAATGGTTGACATTTCAGCGTAAGATTGGTGTTTGCTGAAGGTTTCTGAGTAAATAATGTCATAAGATGTAATTCTATTATATTATGTAAATAATACAATAGAATTTATAAGACATTAAAATGAGTGAACTAGATATCTATATATCAGGCTAGATAATTTTCAGAAACCTAATGTTGAATAAAATAATTAATTTGCAGAAAGATACAGTATAATGCCATTTATATAATTTTAAACATATGAAACTATGTTATTTTGGATACATATATTTATAGCAATATTAAAAATGGACACTGAAAGAAGTGCATCAGTTTTGCAATATCAATTGCCTCTGGGAACAGCTGGAGGACAATGTGACTCCAACAATAAATGCAGTTTAATTTTATCTATTAAGAAAAAATTATAAACAAAGAAAGCATTAATATTGCTTATTATGGATGATGTATACATTGTTCCTCATTGTTTTTTCTCTGTATTTCTCTTTTTAAAATTAAAACTGAAGATGTATTGTGTACCTAATATAATTAATCTTAAAAATTCCTTCACCTAGACATATTCTCAATTAATTTTAGGATAATAAAGACTAAAAGGAAACCCTAAAATCTTCCCAGAATAAGGGGAATGTCACCTACAAATCAATCTGGCATCAGACTTCCCAGTCATAATACTTGATGATAAATGTCAATGTATAAATGCCTTGAAATCCTTAGAGAATATGATTTTCTCGAGTATTCTATTCCTAAATATACTATCAAGCAGATATATAGTGACAATAAAGATGGCCTTAGAACTGAAATTACTCCAAAAGTTTACCTCCTGTAAACTTTTCCTTAGCAAATTGTTTGAACATGTAATCCTAAAAAATGAGATAGTAATCAATTGAAAAGTAAATATGGAATCCAGGAAATAGTGATCCCAACTTGGAAAAGTAATAAAGGCGACTTTAAAGTGATGGTCAAACAATAGGCCCTGATTAACCAGGCCAAAGTGAAGCAGTATGATAGAGGATTAAGGATAGTGGATGAACTCATGAATAAAAGGAGACTTGGGAAAATGAATTGAGAGGTTAGAAAATGAAAGCATGGAAAAACTAGAGGGGATAATAAAAGCAAGTAAGGGAAGAAAAACAATTAGAAGATAATCTAAGAAAATACTACAGTAACGACCCTCAATAAACCATACCTCCCTGCATTCATGCCATTGTATAGTTCTCTC